ACTTGCAGATGACATAATGGTCTAGTAGAAAATCTCAAGAAATCTATAAAACAAACTCCTAGAACAAATAAGTGAGTTCAGCAAGATTACAGGTAAAAGATCTACACAAAAGTCAACTGCCATTTCTACACACTAGCAATGAATATGTGAAAAGTAAAATTAAAAATACAGTATCATTTACAATCACCCCAAAAATGAAATATCTAGTTGTAAGTCTAACAAAACATATACAGGACTTATGTGCTGAAAACTACAAATCATTGATGAAAAAAAAATCAAAGAGACACTGTGTTCACGGGAGACTCAATATGGTGAAGATATCAATCCTCCCCAAACTGGTAACAGGTGCAATGCAATTTCAACTAAAATTCTTGCAAATTTTTGTAGATTAGACAAGAGGATTCCAAAATTTATATTTAAAGACAAAGATACTAGACTAGCTACAACAATCTGTAGAAAGTAGAATAAAGTGGGAGATATCACTTGACTTGATATTAAGGCTTACTATATAGTTAAAATAATCAACACTAATCAACTAAAATAATCAAAGTAATCAACACTATGTGGCAATGGCAGAAGGATGGATATATGGACCAATGAATTAGAACCAAAAAAAGTGCTATACAAGTATAGCCGACGGATTTTTCACAAAAACACAAGAGCAATTTGGTGGAGAAAGAATGGCTTTTTCAACAAATGCTGCTACAGCAATTGAACATCCACAGTGGGAAAAAAAGAAAGAAAAGTGAAATCAACCTAAATCTAACATCTAACACAGAAATTAATTTAAAGTGCATCTTTGACTTAAATATAAAATGTAAAATAATGAAACTTTTAGAAGATAACACAGGAGAAAATCTTCAGGACCTAGGGCTTGGGGAAGAATTTTTAGACTTGACAACAAAAGCATGATTAAAACAAAACATGACAAACGAGACTTCACCAAAATTAAAAGTTTTGCCTTGTGAAAGACCTTGTGAAGGAAATTAAAAGACAAACCATAGATTGGCAGAAATATTTGCAAACCACATACCTGACATATGACTCATACCTAAATTATATAAAGAATTTTCAAGACTCAACAATGAGAAAGCAAATAATTCAATGAGAAAATAGGCAAAAGACATAAAGAAACATTTCACCAAAGAGGATATACAGATGATAAATGAACATATGAAAAAAATTGTTCAACATAACCAGCCATCAGGGAAATGCAAATTAAGACCACAATGAGATACCACTACACACCTGTGAGAACAGCTAAGATAAACAGTGATAACAATGAATGTTTTGAGGATGCAGAGAAACTTATCTCTCACACTTTACTGATGGGAAGCTAAAATGGTACAGCCACTTTGGAAAACAGTTTGAAAGTTTCTTAAAAAATGAAATAGCCACTTACCATGTAACCTAGCAATCACATACCTGGGCATTTATTCTAGAGAAATGGAAACTAGATCCACACAAAACATGTACACAATGTTCACAGCAGCTTCATTTGTAATAGCCAAACCTAGAAACAAACAAAATGCCCTGCAGTAGATGTACAGTTTGTATTAAACAAGCTGGTACATCCATACCATGGAATACTACTCTGTATTTAAAAAAGGAACAAACTATTGATATACACAACTTGAATGAAAATAAAAGACATTATGCTGAGTGGAAAAAGCCTATCTCGAAAGATCACATATACTATGATACCATTTATATAACAGTCTTGATATGACAAAATTATAAAGATGGAGAACAAATTAGTTATTGCCAGGAGTTCAAGATTGTGGTAACATCAGTGGATGGGTGCAACTATAAAAGGGTAGAAAGGGAGGAATCTTTGTGGTGATAGAATACCTTGAATCCAGTGGTGGTTACAGGAATCTCTACCTATATGATCAAAAAAAAAACCCAGATATACACATACTGAAACAGTGTCAGTTTCTTGGTTTGTATGATATTACAAGTATGTAAGATGTAACCATTAGGGGAAATTAGTTAAAAGGGTCACAGGACATCTCTATACTATCTTTGTAAATTCCTATGACTCTAAATTAAATAAAGCAGTATAAATTTAAAATATAAGTATTAATAAAATTAAGTTTAAAAACAGTATGAAGCTAACCAAGGACCCTGAGACTGTTGAAAACTACTTCCTGACCACACAAGACAACATTAGGTCACTACCTTAGAGCTTATCTTAATGTGTCTTTCCAACTGCATTACCATAAATAAATGTTATATTTGTATTCCATTTTTGAAAATTACTGAGTCATGAGAAAATAGAAGACAGACAGACATAGACATAATTGCTAACATTCGTAGATTTACTCCAAAGATGTTTAGCTACTCAACAATAACCCCTCAAATCCATGGGCATGGAGGGGGCACTTTTTTTTAGGGGGGTTAATTTGCTAGTGAGTAAGCCAAGCTGACAGCTTACCATCCAAATTTCAAAGCTGTTCCCTACTAGTCATCAAATATAACTGTTATGGGACAAATCATATGCTATTATGATATTTACAAACTTGAAAAATTGAGCAAGTAGAAGGTTTATATTAAATCTGACAAATCAGACTAGTATTACCAGTAAAATTACTTCTTGAAACTCATGCACAAATAATAATTCTTTAAAAAAACACTGCAAACAGAATAAAAAAATGTACTTATTCTTTAAATAGTTATTTAATCATTTTTTCAAAAAATTACTTTACTATACTCAACTATCCCTTTGTAAGGTCTCCCAGACTCTGTAGATTTTAAATATCTAATAAGAATATACTCTTCCTATGGTCTAAGTGGAATTTCTCTAGCTTTAACCCTAGGTGTAGTTCAGGACTCTGCTAGAATTAAAACATGTTTTCACACACACAATATAATGCCATTCATACTTTAGAACATCTATTAAGGCATATTTCAGCCATCTTGTCATTAAACTAACCCAATCCCTACATCACTTTCTTAAAGTCAGTGCTTTCACACATGTATGTGTGTGTGCAAATGTTTATATGTATGTACATAAGCAACATCAACAACAGATATACAACACATCCTTTACCTACAGTGGTTCAAGTATATTACTCAAATTCCTACAATAAACAAAGAGATCAAGAATACCTTAATGTTAAAACCAAAAGATGATATAAAAATGGGCAATAATCTCACTTTGTTTCCTCCCTGATCTTTAATATTTCTTTCCTTCTCAAAAATCACTAGAGCTAATAAACAAATTCAGCATGATATCAGGTTACAAGATTAAAATGAAGAAATCAGTTGCATTTCTTTATAAAAACAAGAAAATATCAGAAAAGGAAAGTAAAAAAGCAATCCCTTTTAAAATCGCATCAAAAAATAGAATTTTGGGGAATAAACCTGACCAAGGAGGTGACAGACTTATATGTTGAGAACTATAAAATATTGATAAAGGAAATTAAAGATGCTTTAAAGAAATGGGGGAAAAAATGGAAAGACATCTTATGCTCTTGGTTTGGAATAATTAATATTGTTAAAATGGCCATACTACCCAAAGCAATCTACAGATTTAATGTGATTCCTATCAAATTACCCAAGATATGTTTTGCATAAATAGAACAAATAATCCTAAAATTTATACGGAATCACAAAAGACCCAGATTTGCCAAAGCAATACTGAAGAAAAAGAACAAAGCAGGAAGCATAACATTCCCAGACTTCAGACAATACTACAGAGCTACAGCAATTAAAAGTGTGATGTTGGCACAAAAATAGGCATATGGATAATGAAATAGAATAGAGAGCCCAGAAATAAAACCATACACCTATAGTCAATTAATCTTTGACAAAGGCGGCAAAAACATACAATGGCGAAAAGACAGTCTCTTAGGCAAGTGGTATTAGGAAAGCTGGACAGCCACATATATATAAAACTAGAACACTCCCCTACACCATGCACAAAAATAAACTCAAAATGGCTGAAAGACTTTAAACAGGACACCATAAATCTCCTACAAGAGAACATAGGCAAAACATTCTCTGACATAAATCGTAGCAATGTTTTCCGAGCTCAGTCTCCCAAGGCAATATAAATAAAAGCAAAAATAAACAAATGTGACCTAATTAAACTTAAAAGAATATAATCTAAAAGAAAAACGGAATTACTATGCTGTATACCTAAAACTAACACAATACTGTAAATCAACTATACTTCAATTTTAAAAAAATGGAAAAAAATGGCCAATAACCACATGAAAAGATGCTTACCATCAATTATCATTAGGGAAATGCAGATTAAAATCACATGAGATACCATCATATACCTATTAAAATGTGTAAAATACATTTTTTTAAAAATATGAGAATACCAGGTGCTGAAGGAGGCAGAGCAACTGGAACTTTCATGCATTGCTGGTGGGTATGCAAAATTGTACAACTTCTTTGGAAAACTGTTAAGGAGTTTCCTACAAAGCTAAACATAAATTTACCATACAACCGAGCAATTCCATTCTTGGATATTCATTTCATTTGGGTGTATGGTCAGACAAAACTTATACAAGAATGTTTAGAGCAGCTTTAATTCTAATTCCAAAACCTGGAAACAACTCAAATGGCTCACAAGTGGAAATGGTTGTATTAAACAAACCATTCATTTATACAGTGAATACATCCATACAATGGAAACTGTCAAAACAAGACATTCATACAATGGATATATCCATACAATGGAATATCAAAATGGAATACCAAATGGAATACTACTCACCAATAAAAAGGAACAAACTGTTTACACATGCAACAATACAGATGAATCTCAAATGTATTTTGCTATGTGAAAAAAGTAAAACTGAAAAGGCTAAAAAAAAGTTTGATTCCATGGGCGAATTTCCTGAGGGAGGAATGAAACCACTTTATATCTTGACTATATCTTGCATGTGTCAAAAATTATAGTAGTAGACACAAAAAGAGTGACTCTTACTATATTTAGATTCTAAATGATTTTTTAAACTATATATTCAGAAAATGTTTCCTACCTAACATTAGTTTCATCATTAAATTCTTCAGCCCATTTTTTCCTTGACTGAGCAGTTGTAGAACCATCTAAACGGTAATAGTCAATGTTTCGGAGCCACTTTCCTTCACCTGAAAATTCAACAAGAAAAGAAAAAAGAGATTTAATATATATTGTTATCCTAGTAGTAAAAGATTTTCTTCCTTGCTTGCCATTTAAAGGCTGGTTATTTATATTCTATTTGCATAGCAAGACAAAAATTTTTTTAATCAAGGGGTAAATCACTAGATTACAAATAAATTCACCACAGATTTCCTTCTAATAGATATTGAAAAGGAAACATACTTTTGAAAAGTATTTCATCTACATGTAAACTTTGTAAAAGATTTCCTTGATTAGAATCCTTTAAAACTTTCAAAAGAATATGAGTAAGCTACATCATGCTTATGATGCTTGCTTTTAATTAAATCTGTAAATGACCAGGTTTCTCCCCTCTTTTTAGACAAGTTGGTACTAAACAGATAAAAACCAGAGGCATAGAATGCATTTATTCACTGAACAAATATTTACTGAATGCTTATTTATGTGCCAAAAACTATTCTATGGTCTAGCCACAAATATCAGAATATGTTCATATTTCATGAAAATTAACATATGTGTGAGTGTGTATGTGAAAGTAAAGAATTGTGATTTTACAACTTAAATAATGATCAGACATGTCAACTTTTGTACAGTGAGGTGAAATTCTACTAAAGACTTACATTCACACTAAAATACCAACAGATTAAGTGCTTATGACATTTTCATATTTTATCATACATAATTTCCATTCCAATTCTTTAACTGAAAACATATTACTACTACATCCCCTCCAAGCAAAATTCACATCATCACAGCCTAGTCTTGAGATAAAACAAGATGACAAAATTGAGATTTACATCTTTAAGCAAATTTTAACTTAAACGCAGTACATTAGTTTTAAAGATTTTTTTAGTAGTATGGTCATTTGAATAATATTAATTTTTCCAATTCAATGGCCATACAACTCAAAGCAATCTACAGACAATGCAACTGCTATCAAAATACCAATGTATTTTTCACAGAACTAGAACAAAAAATCTTAAAATTCATATGCAACCACAAAAGAACCCGAATAGCCAAAACAACCTTAAGAATGAAGAATGGAGCTGGACAAATCATGTTCCCTGACTTCAGACTATACTACAAAGCTACAATGATCAAAACAGCATGGTATTGGCACAAAAACAGACACACAGATCAAAGGAACAGGATAGAAGGTCCAGAAATAAACCTACGCATTTATGGTCAATTTATGTATCACAGAGGAGGAAAGAATAAACAATGGAGAAAAACAATCTCTTCAATAAGTGGTGCTGGGAAAACTGGACAGCTACATGTACAACAATGAGATTAGAACATTTCCTCACATCATTTACAAAAACAAACTTAAAATGGATTAAAGACTTAAATGTAAGACCTGAAACCATAGAATTCTTAGAAGAAAGCCTAGGAAGAACATTCTTTGACATTAGAATATATTTTTGGATCTATCTCTTAAGGTAAAATAAATAAAAGCAAAAATAAACAAATGGGACCTAATAGAAATTAAAAGCTTTTCACAGCAAAGGAAACCATCAACCAAATGAAAAGACACCCTACAGAATGGGAGAAAATATTTGCAGATGACGTGAACAACAAGGGTTTACTATCCAAAATATACAAACAGCTCATACAACTCAGTATCAAAAAAATAAAAACCCTACCAAAAAATAGGCAGAAGACCTAAATAGATATTTTTTCAACAAAGACATACAGACGTCTAGCAGGGACATGAAAAGATGCTAAACATCACTAATTATTAGAGAAATGCATATCGAAACCACAATTAGATACCACCTTATACCTGTCAGAATGGCTATCATCAAAAAGTCTACAAATAACAAATGTTGGAGAGAATGTGGAGAAAAGAGAATCCTCATACACTGTTGATAGGAATGTAAATTGGTGCAGCCAATATGGAAAACAGTATGGAGGTTCCTTTAAAAACTAAAAATAGAGCTACCATATAATCCAGCAGTTCTACTTCTGTGTATATATCCAGGAAAAAAACACTAATTCGAAAAGATACATACATCCCAATGTTCACAGCAGCACTATTTACCAATAGTCAAGATATGGAAACAACCCAAGTGCCCATCAACAGACAACTGGATTAAGAAGATGGGAAATATATATAAATATATAAAAATATATATAATGTGTGTGTGTGTATATATATATATATATATTATATACACATACATATACATACACACAATGGAATATTACTCAACTATAAAAAAGAATGAAATACTGTCATTTGCAGCAACGTGGATGGACCTAGAGAGTATTATGCTTAATGAAATAAGTCAAACAGAGAAAGACAAATACTGTATGATATTACTTATATGTGGAATCTAGAAAACAATATAAATAAATGTATATGCAACACAGAAACAGACTCACAGATATAGAAAACAAAAGGAAGAAGCAGGGAGGGACAAATTAGGGGTATGGGATTAGCAGTTACAAACTACTATATGTATAATAATACGCAACAAAAATAAAATGTATAGCACAGGGAATTACAACCATTACCTTATAATAACTTATTATGGACTATAATCTGTAAAATTACTGAATCACTATGCTGTACACCTGAAGCTAACACAATATTGTAAATCAACTGTACTTCAATAATTAATAAATAAATAAATAAATAAATAAATAAATAAATAGTGCTTGTCAACATGTTTACTGCTTATCCACATCTTTACCTATATTGAAGACCTAGAATTCCCTTGTTGAAAGTTCAGTAATGGCTAAGAAAGTCAATTTATTTATCTATAGTTTTTCTTTCTTTCAGTTAGGGGGGGAAAAGACATACTCATCTAAGGAAAAAAGATACATGGTAGGATAAAAAAGTAAGAGCTGAAGTCACATTTTCATTAGCTGTTCACTTGTAATTATTAAAGTAAATATGCTAATCATAAATGAATAGAATATGACATGACTATTTTTAAAAAGTATTTCAACATACACGCCTTTTTGGAATAATACAAATGAACAATCTGTACTACCCCTTTTGTGAATCCAACACTTCAAAACTGACAGTATAGTTTAGTAATAAAAAAATATAGATCTTAGAGTCATACTCCCTGAGTTTAATCCCAGTTTCATCATTTACTAGCATCTTCACTAGGGAAAGTAGTTAAACTCCTTGTGCCTTAGTTTCTTTTTCTTTAAAAATGAGGACAGCCAGAGTACCTACCATAGGGTTGTTTTTTATTAAATGAGTTAATATAAGAAAAAAAAACCCCTTAGAACAGTGCCTATTACATAGTAATTAAGCTTTACTGGGTAGTTAATATTAACACCCAAGATACCATAGCAAATTATATCTACCTTTATTATGACACCATATTATAAGTGTTTGATCTCTCTCTGTAACATGATTTCCCATAATATCCCTTTAACCTAGTTCATTGACCAATACACAGTAGCAGTAGTAATAGTAGTAACAGTAGTGGTGGTGGTGGTAGTAGTACTAGTAGGTACTCAGAAGATAAACCAAACTGATTTATGGTTAAAACAAATCTTTGTTGAAGACAATTTCTAAAGTTAGGTATTAACTAGGAAGTGTATGGGAAAATATTCAACCTTGCCAGTGGTCAGAAAAATACAAATTAAAACAATGGCAATTGTTTTTATCCATCAAAGATAGGTGAAATGTAAATATAGCATGACAAGTATATAGCAAAATGAGCATTATCCATTTATTCCTGGTGGCAGATTAAACTGATATAACTTTTTTTGTAACACAGATTTTCAGATAATGAAGCATGACAGAACATATAATCTGACTAATAAAATTAATATGTAGTGATAATAGAAAAATATTTAAGCTACCTAATATTATGCTTACCCACAGTCAAATCAATAAATACAATACACAATACCCATATACATGTTGAAAACATGTCAATAAGAAGGACCCCTAGAAAAAAAGAGAGGTAGGGATCATGAATGAGAAAGATAAAAAGTGCCAGTATATATTATACCAAGCACTGTAATTCAATGGGCTCATAAGAAAGTGCATCACTAGGGCATCACTCTGTATGGAACAGAAATAGAGAAGATCCAGATAAGGATAATGTATTACATTGCCAGTTCAGCAAATCTTTACTATAGACCTATTACATGTCCAGCTCTGTGCTTAGCAAAAAATGTATAACAGTGAGCCCATCTTCAATAAACACAGATTTTAACTAGAGAAACAGAAATAATTACCATAGAACATGAAGCACTCTCTAGGACTTCTTGCAGTTTCTTAAACACGCATGCTCATACCTCACTGCATTTTCACCTGTTACTCCCTCTGTTTGGAACGGTCTTCCTTCAGATTTCTGCATGGCCCATGTTCCCTTCAGATCTCTCTCTTCAGCAGTAAAGCGTTGCCCAACTACTCTACATACTGTCCTCCAAAACTCCCTGTCACCTTTATACTATTTTACTGTTTCCCCATTGCATTTGTTACTATATATTTACTTGTTTGTTTCTTACTGGTCTCCCTTAATAAGAATATGACTTCTAGGAGGATAGGAACATTTTCTCTTATGTTAAGTTCTTTATCCTTAGCATCTAGATTGTACCTTGCATGTGGTAGATATCCTATATTTACAAAATGAAATGAACCCTGGAATACATTATGGGTTCTATAAACATTTAATTTGGGGTAACAATGTAATGGCTTGGTGGTGACTCTTAGCCCCAGTTGGGAAAAGAGGAAAAAACTCTTCACTCTATTAGCAACTATTTACACTAATACTCTGTAAAATGTGGCTTGGAGAAAAAAGGAATTCTACTGGTAAGTGTACTAGTAAACCACTGATATAGTATGTACTATGGTACAAAATAAAGAGCTAATGCTCCTTTTCAATTACTACAGTGACCTAAGTAACCAATGCACCAGTCTAAAAATAAAGATACTATTGCTTTTCCACATGGTTGCCAAAGGAGAAATGTGCTTGATGCACCACTGGCCATGCAGGTGTGTTGGTATGCTTGCTGG